ATGCCAAGCTCTACCCTGACTAAAACAATAACAGAATAAAACTGGACAAAAAGGGAAACAAACTGGCAAAGCCCTTTGACTCTTGCTTTCTTTCTTGTGGGTCTGCAACTGTGCTTGGCAGCTACAGCTGACATGTTGCTCTTCCAAAGCAAACAAAATAAAATCTCGTTGCCACATACTACAGCACAGAAGAATGTCAGGAAGTCTGGTCTGGCCTGGGGAAACACTAACAGACTCAACCACAGCCAGGCAGCACCAGGGAGAGAAGGGATGGATGCCCGTGGGAACTTCAAAGGAAAGGTTTTGTCTGTAAGGAAGAGAAAATGATGGTTTCTGATCTCTGCTGAGAGAGATCCTCTCCACTCCAGCCAAGTGGAACTTCTGTTGCAGCAGCTGCTGGCCCCCATTGATGAACCCTCTTTCTCTGCTTGTAGGACTTGCCTTTTGCTAGCTAAACGACTGCTCTTCCCTCCCAATTTTCCAGCAGTTTTCCACGTTGTTAACTAATGAGCCCCACACAGTGCACAATGAGAGCTTGCAGCAAAGACAAGAGCTCAGATTTCACTAGATATCCTCAAGAGCGCATCTGGATTTCCATCAGTGTAGCTCCTCCTTTTTCCCCTTCACTATAACCATGATGATTTGAATGAGCAGGATTTAAATGGCTGCAGAACAAGCAGAACTGCTCTGCCACACAGTGCAAAGGCACTTGAGGAGGGTCTAAACCCTGTTTTGCACAGAGAACCGTGGTTAAGCATCTGGAAACGTGGATGGTTTGTTGTGCTGCAGCATCTGGCATGGGTTGGATGGAAACCTGGTGTGCAAGCTGCCACAGTACACAGCTGACCACCTGGAAAGGAGTTGATGGATGGATGGAACCATGCTGGACTATTCACATAAAATGTATTTTCTGTTGTCACATAAGGCTTCCTACAGGAATGCGAATATGAAAAAGATTCAGGGTAGTCTTGTCTGTGACAGTCTGAGGCATTTTGCACATCTAACATCTTCCCAGCACAATGGAAAAGCACAGAGGAGAGACTCTGAGCCGCTGGGCTCCAGAAATCACTCCACACAGCAGCAACCTCCGGTAAAACAGCCTCACAGCTGCTCTAAAGAATTCCAGCTGGTAACACATCCTCATGAGGAGCCATCTGCTAGCAAGAGTGCATCAATACTGTGCTGATATGCCTCCAATCTCCACCTCATAGGCTACAGGTGCAAGCAGCACAGCAGGCTTTTGCCATCCAAAAAGCTTACGTAGTCCCTGGCTTGGAAGATGTTCCTTCCCTGAAAGCTCGTAAGGGCTGGGGGAATCAATCTTCCAAAACAATGCCTTCCTGGGTACATTTGTTGACAGTAAATTAGTTTGTGCTCAAGAGCCCTTTCTGTGCACCCTTTGCATCCCACTTTTAGTCTCAGAAGTGAGATATGCATGAGTGGGCAGAGCTGCTGAGGACTAAACAACGCTCCTCTCTGTCCATCTCTGCTCACCTTTATTTGCCAACAAACCACACACAGATGAAAGAGCAATGGCCACACCAGACTTCAAGCACCCAGAAAAAGCCATTGTAAAAGGCTGGAAAGGAAAGGCCCCTTCCAGCCTGTGCTGGGGGAGGCATGGTGAGAAGCTACACACACCACCCAAGAGGCAGCTGTTTGGGCATCCTTGTCTGTGTCACTTCCTACTAAAGAGATCTTTAAAGGGCAGAAGAGATCCCCACTCTGGATGAATCCATAAAATATCTGTGTAAATATACTGAAGGAAAACACCAAACAGAACTCTTTCATAAGGACCTAGGTAAAAAGTAGGGGATGGTACCTCTTATGAAATGAAAGCCAATGTCTTCTTGGTGTCGGTGGCAGAAACTCTTGCAGCTCTGCCACATATCCCACAAACACATTCACATCTTTTCCTGGCTACATGCCTCAAAAGCAGGACTAGAGCAGGAATCGTGCTGTGTCAGTGGGCACAACCCAGTGAATCGGCTCAGGGCCAACATGTCATAGGGAGGATGCCACTGGCACAGGGGGAAGGACCCACATACGTGGTTACCCTGCTTCCCTCTTGAAAGTGCTGGGCTAAGCCAGAAAAGTTAACAAGGACAAAAATAAACCTGCTCTGTACTCATCAAATCTCTTGCTGGGCAACCCCTGGGTAACCAGTGCCCCACCGCAGGAATGTCAGAATCTCCCATGCTGGCACAATAATCCAGGGACTGTTCCTGAAGGTTAGGGAAGTTTATTTTTACAACTTTGCACAGTACCTACAAATCTATCAGCCACACAACATCTGGTTCAGGCACTGCCCTTTGAATGGCTTTTCTGTTGGTGCAGTAATTAAAGGTATCCCAGGTGACACCTGATCCCTTATCAAGTTCATTAATTTAAGTGGAGTTATTTGGCTCTCTATTTTCTATACTTCATAATGTATTTCTAACCTTTAAAGTGACATAGGCAAGGACCAGATTGCAGGGGCGCTTATTAACAGCCTATTAAAATATTTTATGGCCTTTATTTTTACGTTGCCATAGGGAATCAAGTATTTTGCTGTTGTTAAACAGGCTCAGGATTTATGTTGAGAGAGCTTCAGCACAGCCTAACACAGAGTAATGCTAGGAAATGAGCTGGGAGAACAAACTCTCATTCAGCTCTCCATGTGCTGTAAAGCTGTCACATGCAGATGGCAGCAAGGGGCCCTCCAATGCAGGCCCTTGGTTCAGTTTGTTTCATTAAACATAAACCGATACAACAGGACACAAGGCTCTGGGACCTGGGTGCCTTTTTACTAACCCTGTAGACCCACGGAGGGAAGCTCAGAAAGGATCTTTGTGGCCCCCTGTGAAATAACATGCTCTGTTGCTTTTTATTCCAGAGCTGCTGTAACACATCCACACTTTGATTTAGAGCCAATGACTGTGCAGGAAGACCATGCTCTTACCTGCAACAAGACTATGATTGTATCTAGAAGACAACTATGATGTTAATGAATAATTTTCTAGAGATTGCAAGCCCCTTGCTTCCCTAGGAAACCTCTCTCCAAGGTGAATTCCGCTCTCTGTTACAAATCTGCACTTCCTCCTAACTCAAGCACATCCAACACTGAGAAAACACATGTCTTGAATTTAGACTTAATGATGTCCTGCTTAGGTATTCAGAAATTACAATCAAGTCTGTTCTGAAATGCTTGGTTTGATAAATTTCCTAGAGTGAGCCTGGGGTCTTCCTGAGTTTATGTTATGTTGCTCTTATTTTCTCAAGCATAAAAAGTAATTTGTAATGAAGCAACACATTTGGAAGAGTATCAGCAACATACTTAAAAGTATTTTAATTGCCTGTGTTTCCAAAACATTTTAATGAAGTCAAATCAGGAATAAACACTCATTTGCCAAAGAACCTATAAAATATTTTACAATGACATTATAATTGATGCAACTGGTTGGATAAATTCCTGGCATTTTAAACAAAGATACTAGAGATTAGCTCAAGAAGATTATTCAGTAGGCATTTATTATTTCTGCTTTAATTATAAGGATTTTGTTGTTTTTTTCTTCCCAGTTTTTAATTTAAATGTCAGACTGTAAGATGATTTTGTGTGGGTAACCTTAGAGAGATTGTTCTCAGTGAGCAGTGCCTTAGCACTAATGCATGACAAGTAGCCATATTAATAAATGTTATTAAATGTACCATGCCTTTGATGCCTCATCCAAGACCAAGTGATAGAGTATCTTTTTGGGATGAATCCTGGACACCCAGGAGGGACTACTCCTCTAATTTCATTTTATAGCAGAGTGATGGCAGGAAAAATTGAGGCTCCCTGCAGAGCAGACTCCCCACAACCCAGGGAAGGTTTCTGAGCTCACTGGGGTCTCCTGCGTTGGTGCAGACTCCCGTTCCCTTTCCTCCCAACCCTCGAGGGAGAAGCTGCACCTAAGAAACTAACACCCAAAGGCCCATGCCAGGTCATGGCACACCAATGGCACTGCAAGCCTTGCCTGCTGAGGAAGTTTTCGGGGGGGCCCTGACCTGGTTTAAATGAAAGCCGTATCTGCAAGAGTGGCTCAGCAGTAAGAACAGCAGCCTTGCTGAGAGCTGCCTTGCAACTGTGCAATTCAGACATCTCTAACGAGCTCCCCTTATGCTTCTTCTCCCTTTCCTACCACGAAAGAGGGAGCAGAACACACTTCAAGCTACGTTGCACCACGCTCTCCTTTCCTGGGTGAGCAGTAAAGCGCTGACTCCCAACAATTTCCTCCTCCTGAAGCTCATTAGATGGTTTTATTAATTAGCAGGCTCCCAATCTTATAATGCGCAGCACCTGAAATCTCGCTTGTGTTTTTGAAGAGAGTAATTAAAGCCAGAGGTAGTTGAATAAACAGGCACTGACAGAGACTAATACTCTATCAATATAATGAAGCAGCTTGCCAGACAGTAAGATGCCCAGGCTCAGATGTTAACCCAGTACAAGGACAAAACATGCTTTGGCTGGCAAGCACATCCACCCGCTGATGTGGGCACCTCCAGGCAAATTCTCAGTAACTTTGCTGAAAGCAATCAGACTCTGAGGGAGAATTTGGGTCATGGAATCTGTCAGGGGCCAAAACAAACAGAAAACAAGTAAGGCAGCCGCCCTCAGAGCACACAGAAGTAGTAATAATCAACAGTTTCAACACCTTCCCTGTAGAGACTGCAATAATTAGCTGGTAATTATTGGGCACAATTTCCTTAACATTGACTAGAAGGTTACCTGTTTCAAGGACAGAAAACGTAGCTTTGCAAATATTGAATGGAAAATGCCAACAATGGCAGCCAAATTCCAGTATAGTGCTTTATCATCAGCCACTTGGAATCTTTTAGAAACCACTCTGCAGTGCCACAGCACAAAGTTATTATCCCTGGTTAGCACCGCTGCTGGCAGAGCTGGTTCCCCTGTTTCGCTCCTCGGAGGAATGAGGGAATAAACAGCAAAAGAAAGAAACAGGCAGGGAAAAACCACTTACTTGATATTGTCAAGACATCCAGATTCAGGTTTCAGTATGGCAGTATGATGAAACATTTTATAGAGAGCAATCCCAAGGAAGATGACATTAAGCTGCAATGGAGGGGGAAAAAAAAAAAAAGGATTATGTGACACAGCACATGATGGGGAAAAAGCTCCTTCTCTGTAACAGATGGGTTACTGTAAGAAATTAGCTCACAGTACAGCTTAATAGTGACTGAATCACAGAAAATTTCTAAGCATTTTGTAAGGTGATCTGGCCTGTAGATTACAGGACCGGGTATGCCACAGCCTTACCAGAGCTGTGGTACTGCTGATACAAGGCTAGTTCTAGCCTGAGCTGTAGTGCTTCAAACAGCATTATGGAAAATTAAAAATACTTGCTGTAAGGGCTTTTCTGTGTCTGAGAGGTGTACAGTCATGAAAAGTCACGCCAAGCAGCTTACTTAGCCACCCACATTGTAATGAAGCATAAAAGCATCTTTTCCTGTGCATACTCCTTTTAAACACATTGTAATGGGGCAGATGGGCAGGGAAATCACAACTGATGTTTAGCACAATGCAAAGCAGAAAAAAAAAAAAAAAAGAAAAATGGGTTTGATTTTTTCTGTAAAAGATGGCATGGTGTTTTCATGCCTTAGTGTTCACAAGGCGGCCAATTCCTGGAAAGGAGTTTTGCAAAATCCCAGTCTAGGATTTGAGACATAATCAAAAAGGGAAGATATCTTTTTATGAATGAATTGCTTAAGGGAAAAAAAAAACCAAGAGTTGTAGTTGGTGGCATGGCCCCTTTCCTGATGTGGAAGGCTGCTGAAATGGCTCCCAAGTTGCAGGAGAAGCAGAAGAAGCAGAGACAATGTCTGCATTGAGGTGGGAGCGCCTGGTTTTCTGTGCTAGCCAAACTGTAGTCTAGTCAAAACAAAGGATGGTTTATTTAAGCCATATTGTAACGATTAAACTATAAGAAAACTCCAGCTGTCTCTAAAGTTGGGTTCTCTACCTTGTTGCTGTGTTAGCTGATGTACTGGCAATGTGCTAAACATGAAGTCACACAAGTTTCAACTTCTGCTGGTTAGGAAAAACCCTCAGACTTCTTTTGCAGTTTGGACTTTTCTTCATCCTGCTCCCCCCTCCCAGATTTCCCTTTTCTTTTTTTTTTTTTTTTTTTTTTTTGCATTATCAATGCAAAACTTCACTCTGAAATTCAAAAAGGGTGTGAGCAGTGACTGGCATCAAAACAGTTTGGCACTTCTAAATGTCCAGTGGTAGAAACCAAACTCTGCAAGTGCCCGTTCTGAAGCTTCCTGGTCCATTTTGATCAAGTATTTTGCAATGCCAAGAGCCTCTTATAATGAGGGTCTAATTGCTATGCCAGGTGGGGTCAAAGAAGAACATGCCTTCCTCAAATTAATCTGTGTAAATTAAAGATAAAGAGAAAAGGGACAGCAAAAGTTTTATTTCTTGACCTGAGAGATGGAGTAGTTAATTAGGAGTTCTTACCATAATTATCAAGGTCGCTGGTCCTATAAAGCTCCAAATGAAGTAGGTGTCAAGTCGGAGCCAACATCTGTAATGAAACACAGGGGAAAGAAGGCATTCAAGGACTGCACCCAGGACATACATCAAGAGTGAGCGAGTGACAGAGAAGAATGTGAGCTGCAAAACACGCCGGTGGGAGACAGGAAATATTACATTGCTTGTTCATTTAAATGCTGAATTATGTGCCCAATTTCTGACAGCGCTATTGATGGAGTAAGATAATTACCTCTAGAGGAAGCAGGGAGAAAATGGCACAAGGCCTATTTGCTAAGGCTTTCTGCATCTGTCGGGAAAACTCCTTAAACCGTGGTTTTTTTTTGAGGGAAGGGGTCTGATGAACATCCACAGAGCTTCTCCTTTGCTTTGTGCTCCTCTTTGCTCTGATGCAATGCAAGCTGTCTGTCAGCTGTCAAGCGAGATGACATTTCTCCAGCAAGTACATCAGAGAAACTTTGGTGCAAATAGGAAGTATGAATTGGGTAACAGAAGGCTGGGGTTTAATTAGATTCAGAAATCTCCCCTTTAAAGTGTTTTATTTCCCTGAACCTCCTGAGTGTTTTGTTTCCACTAATGTTTCCAGAGTTGCATATGGTCTGCGCTATCACAAGAAGTTGATTCATGGCCTAAAACTAAATTATTAATCGCTTAATTTCAACCGCATTTAATACTCCCCACATTTTTTAAGGCCCCTGGGAAATTACATTTCCATTCCTAGTTCATTCCAGGCGACAGGAAGATAAAATGGAAGTGACTCGTTACAAGACAGACGAATGTAAATTCCAAGAAAGTTTCACATGATGTTTAAAATAATAATATCTTGACATCTTTGCAATGCTGCAAATCACAGTTCCGCTTATACACAAAGGACTGAGAAAGCATAAAGCCACTCTTACACTAAACATCCGATGGAATTTCATGATTAGGGAAGTGACAGGAACTGTATATATGAATTTATCATGGTGGTGGAGATAGCACTTCTCACAAATGACAGCTCTAGTGCAAGTGCCTAATGTTTTTTCCCTTCCAATGGACTTTGCAACAGGCAGAAAAGTCTGTGCCAGCAGCCCCATGGGAGATGATCAGCAGGAGATGCCTAACAAGGGAATAAAACATGCCCTGAACCTCTGTGACTGGGAGAAGCCAAGATAAGAATAAATTCAAATTCGCAGAGAAATCTTCTCACTTCCCTCCCTGACCATATAAATTTTAGGTCTCATCAGTGTTGGAGATGTATTGATATATATACACACACTCATAACGCTATTTGTCACAAATTAAAATACTGTCGCTTCCATGACTGTCATTCCTGAACTGCCTCTGCAGCTGCTCATCCAGAATCTTCATGTGATAGCATCAAAATCTTAATGTGAGAGGCAAACAGAGGCTTCCACAGCGATTGCTGGGAAATCTTGTTTCCTCCGTGGCTGCTGAAGTTCAAGGTGATTTAGATGCAGCTGGTAATGGAACAACATGAGTGACTCGAAACTACTTGAGTCTGATTCCCTATAGGAAAAGGTTTATGCGATCATGACATCTGTGTATCACCCATAATAACATCTGAAATGTCGCCCAACTGCAACTAGATTTGACAAAGGAAGAGAGGTTTCAAGGATAATGAAGTCCCTGTAAAAAGTGCCCCCTCCCATTCCTAAACTAGGATGTCCGCATAGCAGCAGCTCACATATTTACACGGCATTTCAGACTTTATACCTATCCCATCCCCCTCAGGAAAAATGAGTAACTAGTGTTTATGCCTCAGCTGCTGCATATAAATCACAGAATACGCAGCCCCATCACTTTTTTCTACTGATAATGAGCACTGGTGTGTGGGAGAGGACTCAGAGGGTTGTGGGGGTTTTATTTTTTTTTAAATGAAAATATTTTGAACTTTTTTTTTTTTTTACAGTTTAACATTCAAAACAACCCCCAGCCTCTGCTGATCAAGAGTTAGGAACCTTGTATTTAGTCATCATCAACTGGTTTTCTTTCAGCATAAAGAGTGACCTGGCTCTTGAAAAGTCTGGGGAAGAGGAAACACATAAACCCTCTCTGTACTTCTTGAAGCATGGTGACCACCCTACAGCAACATCTGGTGCAGCTGGTTTTGAACGAGTATAGATTGGGACGTGGGGAAAACCAGGGAAAGCTGAAATACACAATGAGCAAAAAGCTGTGCCAGGCTCAGCAACTGGTTCCTTTTCCAGAGAGCAAAAAGAATGAAATTTTCCACTCCACTCCCCTAAAATATCTGTCTCTTCAGCTATACAAAACAATTGAGTGACAAGAGATGGATGCTGTGGATGAGAAACAGCAGAGGAGCCAGGTCCTGCCACCAGGATAAGTGGGGGCTAGGCATGGAGCAAAAGGAGCCCTGAGATGGTTTCACCTAAGCTGGAGCACAGCTTGTGAAAAACTAAGGAGGCTTTTTTTAAGGCCTCTCTGCACACTTCAAAGAATGCAATGTCTTTTTTTATTTGTTTGAATAGAAAATTCGCCTTTCTATGAAAATGTGTATGATACTTAGTCTTGGGGGTCTTAAAAAAAAAAAAAAACTGGGCTTTTTGGTGGTTATCTGGAAGAGATGAAACTTTGAACCTGTTTAAGTCATACCTCATTAAAAATGCAAATTAGGACCAAAACATCAAAACATAGGCATCCCACCAACTGCGTTGTGGAGCTGTAAATTGCTAATCAGACAAGTACCGCACTGAGCTTTTCTTGCCTTAGAAGACAAAAACCCACACGCACAATGAGCTGCATAAATGAGCTCCTCAAAACAAGGAAGCAATCAGGCAACTCACTTCCCAGAGCTGCTAATCTTGGGCTGCCGAGTTGCTTGTGACCCTCCACGCGCAGCTGCGCTGTGAGCACGGGCTTGCCACATTACGAGTTTAGGCTGTGCTGCCATTAAGCAAACGAGCTCCTTCGGGGCTCAGTGCGAGGCAAAGGATTATCAGGAAATGTGTGCATGCAGGGAATACTGCTCAAAACCCCATTGCTTCTTCTAGGAGTCACCCCAGTGCATTCAGTTCTCACGACAAACTCGGTGGCGCTGCTCTCCCTTTACTTTTTAATTTCCTCCTTTTCCACAGTGGCAACTCGCAATATTCACCTAAAGCTTTTCCCAAGTAATAAAGACTACAAAGAGTTTACTCTATTTTCTGCATGAAGAGAAATCAAATACTAAACTATCCCTGGTGTGCATTAAATATAACCAATAAACAATCATTAGCTGCCATTGGACCATAAAATTTGAAGAGCCCTAAACATATCATGTTGTTCATGGGAGCTCAGCAGTCTGTTTCATGTGGCTGTACAGCCTCCTTGTCAGGGTGCAGTAATGGGCTATGTATGCACCAGACATGCCTTTCAAGGGTGCAATATAGGTTCTGCTTAATGGAGTTCAGCATCCACATAGCTCACGCTTCCTCCTCCAAATACTGGCAGCAGCACTGCAAATAAAACAAGTTCAGTGGAGCCACCCAAGACAGACCACATTGTTAGAAGCTATTTTCTGAGCAGCATTTACATGCATGAAATGTCGGCGCCTGGCTGATGGACTCGGAGGCTGTGTACATACACAGGGCTTTCATTTTGCTTTCTTGACAGCTGGATTGCTTACCGTGTATACCCTGCTTTCTAGCATTCCAAGAGGGGGGGAAGAAGGGGGGAGAAACAAAAGAGAGATCCCTGCCATGACGGATTTGATCACCAGTGGATGAATATACCTACAAGCGCATTTTCTAAAATATATTGAAACACTTAAAGCATAGCTGCTTTGCTCTGCAATTTGTAAGAGGCTTCGATATGAAACCCAGGAAAGTATGGAAATATGGAATAGCTTCTTACTCCTGATCTGGGATGGCCTGCTTCTAGCATGAGTCCTCTTAAGGGCTTTTACTGAATTTTAGATGCAAATTATTTTCAAACTCTAACTACAAATGCAAATATCATTTTCCATACTATTTTCTTTGCATTTTGCAGCATTGCCCATCATGACCCTTGACATCCTATCCATTGAGGAGATGGGTGGATTAGGTTAACACACAGGATAAGGTAAATGATGTATCTTTCTTTTTTTTTTTTTTTTTTAAGCACAATCCCAGTATCTTCTTTTTTTTGCAGCAAAACTTGAGCTATGGCCATTTAAGATGCAGCAGCTGAAGATATGGCCTGTAAGAAATGGTCACTTGAAAGTTCATGAGAGTATTGCCAGAATCTTTTTGGCAATGTGGGGGAACCACACTGTCTGGAGTGGGGCTTCCTGCTTTTCATCTTTACTTTAGAGGTTACAATCAGAATAAGGTGAGACACAACATTTCTGATTTATCTGGGGGAAAGGACCAAACACAGTTGAGTTAGCTTGAATGGGCTGATCTTTTAAGGGAATCATTATGCTGCTGCTTAATCATAAAAGCAAATTAATCTCCTAATAGAAGGGTTTTGAACTGTTCTAAAACAAACAAACAAACAAAAAAAAAAAGCAGGAAAAGGATCAATCCCTATCCTTGCAATAATTAAGTGTATTAAGAGTATCTTTATGGAAGAGCTACTTTAAAATGCCAATATGAATACTAGGACACAGGACACTTCAGAAAATCACAAGCACCAAGTGATGAGTAAAGAAACAGAGGGAGGAACAACTGCCTGTTCCTGGCTATGTAAATCTGGGCATGTGTTACAGGAGGGTTGGATTTAGAAAGGAAAATGAAATCAAGAAAACCCTACACAGCATGTTTATGCAAATCATTCTGAGATGTATGAATGGTGGCACCAAATGCCAGGCAAAAAACAAATAACACTAACAGCTCCATAAGTCCTGCTTAAACAAATGCAGTAAATAATGGAGGGAGGCAAGTAATATATTCCAGAGGATGTTTTACAAAACCTGGCAAAACCAAGTAACTTCTTGCAATCAAATTATGTATGCCTGGCATATAGTTCACTACAAATTCTAATCAGTTCTACCCTTCTAATAATATTATACTGAAAAATACATCATCATCCATCAACCAGATGGAGCATGATAGTTATACAAAACATATTGTATGGTTTTTATTTTCCTCTATGATAACGTGATAAAATCGTGCATTCTGGAATTAAAAATTATAAATAAATATTTTAGATTTGCAAATCTCTGTAAATATTTATTTGCAAAATATTACATATACATGTTTAATCATTAAAAATACCACTTCGTGCTGTGGGGAGGGAGACATATTTTATTGGCACACACACAGGACTGCTGCCTCTTCAATGCCAAGATAGTGAAGTGTTCGCCTTCAGTGAATTTCAGCCAAACTTTCTGCCTGTATCTTCCATGCCATGGAAACATTTGGGCACCCAAGAACCATTTGCAAAAGCCAAAGGGTGAACATTGTGGAAACTGCAAACTGGACGGGTTAGTGCTCCAGCAATGGCAGATATGCAGAAACTGACTTTCCAGACAGCTGGAATACATTTGAGTGCCCAATGTAGGCCACTGTGGGGAACTATGTCCTTCACAGAAACACCATAGTTAGGAATAAATTTGTCTGAAAGGACAAGGCAAACTGTTTCCATACCTGATTCAATAGGTGCTTATATAATGCTCAAGAGGGGGAGTGAATAGAAGAGCTTGTTGGGGCAGAAAGCAGGTGGCAACTGATGGAAAAATCTTCAAAAATGGCAATCAGCTGTTGTGTTACTTATTCTTTGCCCTCTAGGCCTGTAAAAATCAGTCAAACTACTTTGGATAAATTCACAGAGATCCTTAAAAACTTACACCCTCCTACCCTTATCTGTGTGGGCCATTTCCTTTCCTTTCCACAAAGCGTGACATTTATATAAATTCAGGTCGCTGCTCTCCTACTCATGGGAGGAACACAACACAAATATCCATCTGGGATCCAAGCCTGCCTGCTGGCATGGTAATGGATCATGAGCAGCTCCACTGCTCTACAGATCTGCTTTTTCAAGTAATAAAGGTTCATATATACTAATAAGGTTTCAGGCAAAAAAATCTGCAGTTGAACCTAACAGAAGATCAAATGCTGCCATGGACTGCCCCAATCTATGCTAAAAAAGAGCTTCACAATCATAGCTCATTGCTATATATGCCTTCATACTGGGCCCTTAACTCACTTAAAGTGAGACTGGAAAGGCAGACTGACAAGGGAAGGAAAAAAAGGTCAATAAAAACACACTATTAATCCCATTGCAGCAAAGATGGCAAAGAGAATCAAAGGCTCAATCTTCCCCTTGTTTTCCATTAGAGACTGTTGCATGATAATCTAACTTGTGCTTTCATACCAGCTTCAGCAATGTTGAAAACACTTAAGAATATTCATAATGATAAATGATATAGCTGTTCTGATTTGCAAAGAGTCGAATGCACTCCACAGTCACCACCTATTTTGCCTGCAGGCTCTGTAAATTTGATAGAACAGTTAAAAAAAAAAAGAGGAAGAAAGCAGTATCTTCATCCAAATAAGAAATAATCTTTGGATAGAGAAGGAGGATCTTACTGATATAGTACCAAGCTGAGACTCGGGACAGTCACCTCTGCTAATGTTATGCAATGATGTGACAAAATTTTCCTCAACTGACTTCCCTAGAAAATACCTTTGCAAATCATTTCATAGTGGGGAATTTGTCCTGCAAGAAACACAGAGATAAGGCAAGGCATGCTGAGCTCTGCCTGAACAAACCCTCTGGGCTCCCCACATCCTTCTGTTGCCCCCACTGCCATCTCTCCCGAGGAGGTCCAAGCAGTGCCAAGGTCACTCACACTTTGTCCGTGCCGTAGCTCCGGTAGTCCACTGCTGCCGACACGGCCACGATCAGCGCAGGCATGCCGTACCCCACCAAATAGAAATACTTCCTCCGGGAGTGCTCGCTCTCAAAAACCTCCACCAGCATGATGTAGAGCTGCACCCCCTCCAGGAACATCCAGGTGAAAGCTGCCAGGAAGAAGAAGTGCAGGAGGGCAGCAAAGACGGCACAGGCAATCTGCGAGAGGATTGAAAAGAGCAAGGGAAGGTGTTTGTACCATGATTCATTAATACAACAGTCAGGAGTACTCTTACTTGGAGGCTTAATAAAAGTGAGAGTGTTCTTCCCTCTCCAAAGGAAGAACTTTCTTTTCACTTGGAAAACATGTGTGAATTGTTTCAAAACAGATACATAATTGCATATATAAATGATTTTAAAAGATAGAAAGGTAGCCACGTACACAATCAGGCAAATAAACACATGAAGATGTACATGGTATAAGCTCCGTTTTACAACCTGCTTATTAAACATACACACACATTATTGACAAGCAACACACATACAGCCCCTGAAATCACAGCAGACATCAGCATGAGAGTCCCAGTTATCAGCTGGGGGCTCAGCCCCGTGAGGACTCGTGTGTGGAATGAAGACGGTGCTGGAATGTTTCTCACTGGGCAGATGCACTGAGACAGGAGCCTGTGACAGAAGCAGAAAGGGCTTTGTCTCTTACCGGCTGGTCAGTCCGGTTGATGCCGATGAGGAAGAGGAGCTCTGCCACGAAGAGGCTGATGCACAAGTTCTTGTGGATCGTGTTGCGGTCGCTCTGCAGCCCACGGAAGAAGCAGAAGGTGAAGATGCAGATCAGGAGGCAGACCAGTGAAAGCAGGATGCCAACCCACGTGATGAAGTCCAGGAGCAGGTCGTGGACTGCATCACTGTGCTGAAGGTAAAACGAAAAAAATCTCATCAGTTGCATGATGCATGACTTCTAATGCATCCCGACCACAGAGTAAGGTTGTCTGTGCCACAAGGCACCAGTACCAAAAACATTAAATGGACCTAAACTTGCACCCTGCAGCGAGATAGCTGTAACCTGAAACACAGACTCCAAAGTGTACTGCAAGCTGCAGGTGCCCTGAACAGACTCAGACCCCAAAACTTTGCATAAACATAGTGGTGTTGATGAAAATACTGAGGTATCAGAGCTGGTCTTGCATGCAGCTCAATCTTGCACAAGCGTGGCAAAGCAGTGCCTGGACACACGGTATAAAGAACCATTGAACAGAGTGATTCGAGTGTAAAAAAGCATTTCATGCTAACAACATCATGTCCAACAACTGCAAGTCTATTACAACCATTTGCCAACAGTGAAAAAAGACTCTCCTTAAATGTTCAGAGATGTATGAACTTGGAAGCTTTAGAAAGAAAGAGATTGCTTAATTTTATTTATTTTTTTCCACAAGGGAAGGAGAAAGGAAGTTTGATTTTTCTTTTTCAAACCCTGGAGTTATATTTTAGAACTCCTGGGAAGTCAGATTGATCCCAAGAACATTACCCAGAAAAAAAAAAAAGACAAACCTTTTTAATGCGAATTTGCTTTTAAACTGTAACAGAACAGTGATTTTAAGACAGTCTGGAAAGTTACTGATTCCCTGCCATGAACTTTTAACATGGATGTACAAACAAAGCCAGTGCAAAGCTAGGCCACAAAGTTTTGTGTGAGGCACATATCCTGATATGTGAGCCTTGGCTCTGCTGACAAAACACTGCTGCATTGCTCCTGAGCTTACACTGCATGTCCCTCACAAAAAGAGAAGGGACGTGAGAGACCCTCCTGGTCAGAGTATCCCCACCACCTTCTTCCTTATTCAGGCTGTAAAATTTTCCTGCAACCCCTAAGCTTCCACCAGACGTGGTGAAATTATAGGTATCATTACTTAGCAAAATGTAAATAAAACACAAGAAATACAGGGTGAGTCACGAGATGACTGCTTGGGTGCAAGTGGTTAGAGTCAATGAGCTGGGGAAAAGACTGGCTGGAAATCTCTAGGGGCATTTCACAAAGACCAGAGCAGCTCAAAGCCCATTTCTGTGGTCCACCAGGTTGTTACAAATGATAATCACATCCTCCACCATTTCTGGCATTTCGATGACTTGGGCATTATGTAGGCTGGCAAATACAATAGTGTCACACTTCAAAAAGCCAGGGCAAAGTGGAAACATTTTTCTCTCCATGAGATAAAAGATTATGACAGATGGAGGGAAAAAGTGATTAATTTATCAATTTTCTTTACCTGTTTGCCAATGATAAAGCCACATCAATTATCAGGCCTTTCCCTATATACGCTCTGCTACGTCGGCACCCCACCCCAAGAAACATCTCAAACTTTACAGCTCTTTGGCTTTACCAGCATGAGTGATAGGCATCAAATGATAATGAAAGATGGGGAGTGATTCTCTGCTCCACCCCTTCCATGCAAGGAAGACTCGGAGGTGGTGAGATGGAGGGCTCCTTTGCCCAAGCTCCCTTGCATCTCTTTCTCACTATTTCCAATGCCTAAGGAACTAGAGGTCCAACAGGGAGACAAGAAATCATTGTGTGCTTTCTGTGGCTCATGACAGAAATGCCTATTCCAGCCAGCTCATCCAGCAGCACCCAGAAACCTGACAAGATGAAGCACATCATTTCCCTGGCAGCTGCACATTGCTTTATCTCAGTGTCATTCCTGCTCATCCATCCCTCTTAACTCTGCAGAAAAATGTTAATGCAAACCTTGCACCTTGCAAATCATTCTTTCTTTTGTCTGAGGCTGCAGGGGAATGGCAGGAGAACATCTCCCTGAACAAGCCCTCATCTGATTAGACTGGCCTGCCAGGCTGAATGGACCAAGAGCTCTTGGGCTGGGCAACAGGACAAGGCAGCTAATGCAGGTGGATGCAGGGAGACAGAAACCAGGCAGACTTTGGTCAGATGCATGCACCCCACCCAGATGTGGCCAGATTCATTCACCTGAAGACAAATTTAGCATGGTGCAGGGAAAATTCTCCAAGGGTTTCTCCCACTAGCTAAGTCTCACAGGTCCCAGCTGCTGCACCTCTTATCACAATACCACAACTGCTGGATTTAAGACGTGATGCAGGAATTACAGGTGATTTTGCTCTCGGAGAGAGATCCTACTATCTAGGTTTTTTGTCTTCTTCAGGGAAGAGCTGCTTGCCCAAGAAGCTCACCACGCTTAGCAATAAACATGCTTCATTACTGTATTATTATTATCACTATTATTATTATTATCTTACTGCTTTTCTTTTTAATATTAATTGTAAAGATAATACTGATTTTATGTACATAACACTCATCCCTAGAGTGCTGGGAAACAACCATAAAAACAACTTCTCCATAAAATTACAAACTCCCTCCCCAAACTCTACAAACACACAGAACAAACAGAAAGGAATAATAACAATAAACTGGGAACAAGAGCAATTTTAGAACACCTCAGGGGAAAAAAAATACGAATTTGTAGCTTTTCTAGTAAAGTCCAAGAGAAGAAGTGAGCTGAATTTTAAAGGCTGGGTACATTCCAGCCTGTTTGGGATGCCCAATTTCAGGTGCTACTGCAGAGCCAATGGATCAAGGAAGACTTGATAAGCACTGGCATCCTTCCCATGGCAGTGCCAACTGCTCCCTCAGAGCAGGCACATCCAGAGCTTGTACACAGCAAGTACAACAAAAAGCAAGTTGCCTTTCGCTGGAGACTGAAACTTGTAAATTACTGCACTGTTACAGCATATGTAATATGCAGAATAATATGGGGAAAGGAACAATAGTGGTGACCTCAACCAATGCCATGAGCTTTTCCTTGCCATCACCTGATTGCTGTGTGACAAACAAGGAGCAGCATAACCCGGCTTACAGAGTTGGAGTTCAAGAGTTAAATACGATACAGGGCACACCAGGATTTTGTATGTAGATCTCAGCCTTCAGGCCTGGTCTTTTAACCAGAAAACTGCAAGGAGAGAAAATCTTCTCTTTACCCTGTCCAGCACTGTTCAAAACTCCTTGACTGAGGATAAAACAGCTTTGACGTGCCTGGTAACCACTGAATCACAGCATGGTGAAGATTGGAAGGGACCACCAGTGGAGCTCTGGTCTGACCTCCCTGCTCAGGTCTAACTGGACTCTGTGCCACTGACCATGACCCTCTGGGATCTGCCATTCCCAGAAGATCCCTAGAGAGATTTTTCCAGCACAATGAAAGCCCTAGAGTCTCTAAAGCATGCAGCATACATCTGAGACCACCAGTGTATCAACAACAGTTACCTCTTGCTTCTCAGTGATATTCCCAAATACTTGGACAACCAGAAGAGCCCATGAGAAATACCAGATATCAGACCAAGAAACAATTTTGCGACAGCATCAACCAAAAACTGCTTTCCCAATGCACTATGGCTCTCCAGACTGGTGCTACATGGCACAGCATACAAGACACTGAGGTTTGTTACCATTAAGCTGCACTTGCTTCACAGAATAAGCTGACACACAGATAATTTCCAGCACAGGAACAACTTACTGAGTAATTGAAAAAAATAAAACAACACACTTAATTGGCAGGGTTTCTATGCTATGCTAAGTATGTTTTATATCTATGATTTAGGTATGAACTCAACATAAAGCCCAGTGAAAGGAGATGTCTCTGCTTTGGAATAAAGACCTGGTTTTGTTCCATTGAGGCCAAGAGCACTAAGAGGGAGAGTGCTGATGGGGATTTGTGCAGGAGGAGTTACAGGAACACTGGTAGCAACCACAGCAGGGTGAGCAGGCAGCCCCGATATTATCCAGGCTGGGAAAATCAATGAGCAGCTCTGGCAGTGCCTGTACACCAGGCTGAGCTAATAAAAACAAATCCCTGGGAATGTCAGTGTATGACAGAATGGCTCTCCCTGAGATGAACAGCCATTTCCTCCCTTATTAAAAGCATCAGTAGAAGAAAACAGCAGCCAAACCAAGCTGCCAGCAGCAAAGGACACATTCCTTTGCCTAATCTGTCCCTCCAGGAATGGAAGAAGTAATATCTTTGGGGGTGGAAGAATAAGCAAGCAGTAAATAAAAACAGAATGTCATCAACTAGCTCAAATATGACCACTTGGTGCCTGGTGGGAGCTGGCAGAGTGCTGGGCTGGGCAGAGACCCAAGTGGGACAGGTTTGAACTTCTGTGCATTGCTGATGCTGCTTCTTGGATTTGTAGCTCTTTGAGGCCGTGTGGGGTCTCTCTGCCCTTCTTCCCCTATCTCTGGTGGTGAGAGAGGATTTACTGCTATGACCTGGCTGTAATGCTTTGTGGCTATGTGCAAAGGGCTACTAAAGAGGCAGATGGTTTTGTAGATGTGTCAAAAGCACCAGCTGGGGTATATGGACTGGGAGGAAACCCCAAGGATTCCTGAAGTGCGTCCGAGCTGGCAAAAGTCATCACCTGCTGTGGCTATGAAGGCATGAGAAGTTTTAAGGGAGCTTTTCCCCTTCTGTGGCCAAGAGGAATACAAGCTGGGGGATCCCTTTGCTTTAGCATCCATCCTCTCCATCTTCCCTCAGGATGCACACCAAGGGAGATAGGCAGCTGTGCTCCACAGTGAATACAGCACCCATGGACCTGGTACGCATCCCCTCTGGGCTCTGCAAAGGTGATGCCATCATTGGCACCATCAGGTCCTAACTCAGGAATAAAGAGAGCAAAATTCCCACCTGAAGCCCCGTGCAGCATTACTGTCTTCTGACTTTGGCCATTCACAGCAAGACTGAAATCACTGAGCATTCCTACAAGGTGGTTTTGTCACCTCTTCTCTCCTTGCCTCAGTCCACAAAGCTGCCTTCATATTCTGCATGGGCAACACAGATAAGCTTCCTCCTCTTCTGCCTTTCTCAGCCAGATAAAGGCCTTCCAGCAGAACTCTTTCCCACAAACTTCACCCCAAAAATGCAATGGCCTTCCAGCAACTGCCAGAAGCAGCAGCCATTTTAAGTCTGAGAGGCAGCTGAGGTGAGATTTGGTCGTGGAGAGGAGGTGAGGAATAATAATTAGGAATAATAATTGCATCCGCCATCCTGCTGTCCCATGATGGCTGGGTTTAGGCAGCTCTGATTACTCACATGGCATCTCCAACCCAAGAAATGAGCTACAGCAGTTGTGCCAAACTCAGTGTAGCCATCCACCCAGCCGGAAATGTGAGTTTCTGGGAAAACTTTCTTGCCAGTGTGAGCTATGTGGCTTGCACATGAAGTTTAGAACATAGGATCAGCCTGCAATAACCCCAGCTTGCTCCGGTACTGCTTTAGGCAATGGACCGCTACATTCCATTTAGACTTCACGTATTTTTATTCCTTTCTCTCCTTAGTTTGCCTTATGCTTCCACTCCTCAAATAATTAGCACAGTGGAACATGTTTGTGATAAAGAAAAACACCTGAAACTGTCCTATGAATTGCAACAGTCAAAACACCTTTCTTTTTTTCCTCCTTTCTATCTGTATTTAAAAAAGAAGAGTAAGATCTGGCACTCGTTACATACTGATAAGCAACATTTATCTACCCGGGGGGTACCTTTGCTTATTCTGGTTTGGGTGGCTTTTTTAAATTGCATTTTCCCACCAGCTCTGAACTTGTTTTCTGGCTGTATAATTTTCCCATGATACATTTAAGATGCATCTGCTATAATTAGTATGATGCAAAGCACAAGCTTATGAAAAACAACTTGTAAATTTTGAATAATTCTACAGCAATTACATAGGTAGGATGGATTATTTAACAATGGGCTTTGTTCCACAGCATGGAAGTCACCACATTTTTGTAGACAGTGGCTGGAGGGGGACCTGCAGGTGAGGGTCCACTGCTCTTCCCAGCAGTTATGCATCCTGCTTGTGTGCACGGCCAACCCTTGGTCTCGGACACTGTTGTTTTACCCCAGTGGGTGAATAAGAAACTCTGAGCCCGACTTATTTTAACAGGCAGAAAGCATCTTCAAATTAAAATCTCCTCTTAATCAGGTACTGTCCTAGTCAGATGAGAATTCATCCCAGCAACTTCTATTCTTCAAGCACACCAATAAATCCCTGCTGCCATGGTCAGCTGGTGGCATTTTCTGTCCCTTTGGACAAAGACATATTGCTTTTTCATGCTGGAGAGCCAGATGGCCATCAATCACCTCTCCTCAGCAGCACTACCTTCCAGCTCCACCTTGCCACACACACTCTGCTTATAATTAAACCATAGCCCAGAACTCACAGAGCAGCCACTGAGATCCCCTCTGGAGAACACGCCCTTGTGCCATGCTACCAGGCAGGAAGATCATTCACCAGCAGATGTGACACTTGTCAAATTGGTGCTGGTTTTTGATTAAAGAGCAGGACTAGGATATCTGCTCCCCATGATGCCCAGTGCTCAGTCTCATTAGGCAGGGTGCTCCACAGCACTCCTTACACTAAAGGATGTTCCCTATGGATCCAAAAATTCAAACAACTGAAGTCAGGAAACTACAAATCTCAATCACAGGAGAAAATAGTTTCCGTTGCAAAACTCCCAGAACATTATTAATTGCTGTGTGTATAACAGTCTTTTTTAGAGATCCTGGTCATTGCCAGAACACTGATGTAAGAGGTCTTGCAGAAGCACAGAATATCATTTCCCCAAGGATCATTCCACCTCCAAGAACTTGGAATGACCAAGGAATGCCTTTTTGAACCAGCCACGAGATAAAAAAATGGCCCAAAAGCACATCTGTCAGCAGTGAGCATGAATCAATGAATGACAACAACCCCTATTTGTTGTTAAACCTCCACTTCTCCAAACCAGCAGGTATTGTGCTGCCAAGACTTTAAAATCAACTCATTACAACAGCATAAGGAATGTCATACAAGCCACCTTCTATGCCAAGAGCCACATGGTCAGCTCCACCATGGAGCGAGACAGTGCCACCAGGAAGAGCAAGGTGACAAGCAGCTGGCGGGACAAGCTGCAAAAGTTTGCATATTTATATCTGAAATATGTGTCTGTGCTATGTGGGAGAAAACCCTGCCCTGCCTTTGCCCTCAGGCCAGGATGATCACTGAAGTGGACATGCCAGGAAGCTGTCTGGTTGTATCACAGTCAACAAAGTGGAGCCAATTTGGCTCTTACAGCAATGGTACTTTGGCTGCAGCCAAATGATAAAACATGACCTGAAAGTCTTGAGGGCACTTGTTAACACCCAGAAACAGCCACTAGCTAATAGCACGCTGGCTTGGTACTCGGGAAGCTTCCAGCTGCAGCTCTTTCCAACCTGCTGGATGAACATGGGCGAGGAAGGGTCTTACATACTTTTCCTGCAAGATAACAGCAGCTCCACTTCTCTCACGAGGTTTGGATGGAAAGTGCAGACAAGGCTGACCTATTTGCAGTTTGAGAAAAGGCTGGTTGAGCACCAGGCTGTGTCTGCACCACTCAGGAGGGATCACCCCCATTCACACCAGTGGAGTGGATCACTATCTGCATTTCCCAGCTGCAGCCTCTGACTTCAGCGACTCAGGCATTTCTGTTAATTCCAGGTGGGTGATAATGAGCCAAACACACATTTCTTATGAAAATTCAAGCAGTTGTAGGAAACTAGCAAAACCAGACCTGGACTGCAGAATGCCATTAACCTGTAAATATGTTCTCTGAATAGGCCCTTTCTTCAGACATCTCCCAGGACAATGACACAAACATTTAATGGCATGTTTCCTGGACTAGGACTGACTTCTGCAGAATAAAGTTTTTACTGCAACTTGCAGGAGGAACAGATATATCCTGTCCCTCTCAGCTGGACCCAGCTGTTGTGGGAAATGTGCCCCATGACTCCCATTTCTTTTTTTTGCAGAGCTTTTGTCATGCATGATGCTTATTTAATATATATTTTATTGTAGCTCTTCACATTCCTCTTCAGGTTATTAAGTGGAACAAAGATACACAAAGCAGTGACACTGGAAGACTACTTGAGAAGAAGTAGTTTTAAAACCATAATAGCTTTTGTGGTTATGCTTATCATCGAAGTTACTCTGAAAAGTTCTGCCTGCATGGAAGATGCCAGTTCCATATCTAGCTAAGAGCTCTGGATTTTGCTGCTGTGCCAGGCACATGAAATGGAGACACCACAATGAAGAAAATGACTAGGCCAAAATCTTTTGGGCATCAGGGCCTTCTCTTCTTTCTCCAAGAGTTTAGACCGTTCTCAACTAAAGACAGCCAGGGCAGCTCAGGAAATGGAGCAGCATCTCAACCATCCTCCTGCTCTTGAGTAAAATCCCAAAGTGCTTCACTCCCAAAACCACTGCTACCATGAAGAACATCTACTTTCAGTATTAACTTCTTTAGCTCCAGTGAGGTTAGTCATATGGAAAGCCAGATTTACACCACGGACATAAATGCAGGCAAGGGAACCAGCTGGTCATGTACTGGCCTCAAGTGGATGCCCAGTCTACATAAGAGAGTACTGGATGGAATTCTCTCTCATGTGTCACACTCTGCATCTCTCTGTCACACAGTGAGATGCAGACAATGTATTTTTCCCCCTAGATGGAAGAAGGAAAACACTGTTGGCTCCACACATGCACCTCACACCAGCACATGTGGCAGCGCATCTGCAGCTGCTGCCAGCAGGGCACCCAACCTGTGCCCCACGAGGCAGACTGCACACTTCTGTCCCCCCACCTCACTAACCCGTGGTGGCCCAGGGAGGACCCAATGAGAAAGAACCCAGCCAGGAGATGCTCTGCACCAGTTAGCAAAAGATATGGCAACAGCTAAACGCCATCCCCAGCTCAGAACTGCCCATGCTAAGAGCCCAAGACAGGCTTTGAATTGATGTGACTATTTCCTGTTTCACCACAGAGCAGAAGGAAGACTCACACAGATGGTTTCTACTTTCAGAGATACTGTCACACAGCAAATTCCTTTCTCAGCTCCATTAGTGGTAACAAAATGGTGCCACACACTGACCACTTTTCCTGCCCAGTGCATCGGCAGCCTGGGAATCTGCAATGCCTACCTTAACTTCCACGTGTGCCATCAGGACTGCAAAGTTGGTGAGGTGGTTGCAGGAGCACGTGGTGTGTGTCTTGTTAGTTGTCAGGAGGCGACAGCCCTGGGTGGACCAATATCCTGTCATTGTACGCTTCGTGTAGCTCCAGAATGAACAGTTTGGGTTAAAATTTTCTTCTGACTGCTGCAGGGAAGAAATTAGTAAATGCAGTAACAATGATAGGCTCTCAGAGATTTCTAAATGCTATTGAGGCTCTTTGTAACTCTCACCCTTTAATTTTAGATAAATAATCAGCAGTGGTTTATACATCAAGTATTACTTGTCAATACAGAGAAAGTTAGATTGTTGCTGCACTCTTTGCTAATGCAAACTTAATTCTTTGTTCTTGATTAATTTCAGACATTGACTAAATCCAGCTCTTCAAAACCAGACTGCTTCATTTGCATTGCAGAGCAGAGAAATTAATTGCTTTAAGCAATCAACTTTTGCAATGACTGAGCTTGGCTAATAGGAGGACTAGCTGTCCTCTTTCACTGTAATTCCACTTTCCTCTAACATCCCCTGCCACCATGATAAAATAATATTATGGTCTAGTCTAATTTATTGGTAGTTTTTAATTACAGAATGATGCGTGTCAGCAACCAAGCAATGGGCATCAGCTCAAAGGAGACACTTTCTTTACTTTTATTAATGCAATGTAAAAGAGACCTTCTCCATAAATAACACAAAGTACAAAGGAACAAAAGTATAATTCAAAATCTAATCAAGGATTGCTGGGGGCCTCACAGCAGCCAACTTTTGCATAATTTCATTTCAGAAACCGACAAAAAAAAAGAGAAGTGCTTTTTGAACTCACACACCTTGATGTGCTTGACAGTAAACACCACAGGATCAGCCAGGTAAACCTTATTGCTGAACTCTTTATTTATTGCTGCCGTGATGACAGGGGAGTTGACAATGACAGAGTGATTGGTTGACATTGCTTCTGTTCCCAACTTCATGCTGGCATTCTCCGTGGAGAGATAGGTGCCCAGGTTATTGTACAGCACAAAAGCCACCCTGATCTCACCTAGAAGAGAGGTAAGAGGTTAGATAGCCAGGTCGAATCACTGGGGTGGCTTTTTCTTTTATAGATTGCAAATCTCTTCTCTTACTTCAAAACTTCTCTGAGAAAATGTGAAAAGACCAGGATGTGGCATATGAAAACCCACCTCTTGCCAATTCCAGTGAGCACCAAGAGGTGCAACAAGCATTACTTGGATAAGAAGGGCAGAACTGCCTCTTCCAAAAGAAACTTTTACAAGCAAACACATGAGCAGAACACAGACAGAGAAGGTGGGCTTACTTTTGGCATCAGTAGGTGTAACTGGCTACAGAAAAAAGAGGCCAGGTGGTCCATTTCCCACCTGACATCACTTTATCCTCCTGGATATACCCAGGAAACATGTTTCAAGCTGACATGCTGCACAGATGCAGTATAAAACTATAATTTAGCCTGGTAATAAATTAAGACTACCTCAGAAAAGTAAAGGGACAAATCTGGGAAAAGAAACCAAAATCCTTTTGACCTAACTCCAATCACACATGACAGGTAAAACAAAATTTCAGAAATTTTATTTAAAAATACATTTATTTTCTTCATTTGTCAATCAGATAATCACAAAAATACCCTGTAGAAAACCGAGTCTACCAGCAACTGTTTTTAACTGAAACCATCCAGCTTGCCTTCTGTTTTGCACATTATTTCACAGCCTATAAATACTTATGGAATGTGATTAGTTCGCCTTTATATGTATTAGTTGTGGAGAGGTATGTTTTTGTTTCTATATGAATCACCACAACATCTGAAGAAGGTGAGGCACTGATGACTCCAAAGGTTCCTCCCATCCTAAATCCTTTTATGATACTTTTATTTGTAGCTCTTGGATGACCTCTGGGCATGTGTCAAGCGGGTGCAAATTGATGAGGTTCTGCTTCGAACAGAACTCCAGTGATACTGTGTTTAGCAATACAAAACTTCCCTTTCATTGCTGCCAACAGATAGCAGAGTAAAAGTCCTGCCCTGCTAAAGTTTTGCTACACATCTTGAGTTTTAAACTGTCTCTAAAAGAAATACTTCTCCTAAAATCCTATCTGCAAGCAAGCCAAAAGCAAGACTTTCTTTCTGAACCACCAGACCAAACTCTGTTTAAAATTTTTGGAAACTTTAACGCATCTGGTCTGGTTGTAATGCTGCCCTATCACTCCATGTTCTTTATTCTCTACACAAAGGAGGGTGAAGCACTGTCACGGACTGCCCAGAGAAGCTGGGGATGCCCCATCTCTGCAAGTGTTCAAGGCCAGGTTGGATGGGGCTTGAGCAAGTTCATCTAGTAGAAAGAACCAGATGATCTTAAAGGTCTCTTCCAAGCCAAGCCATTCTAGGATTCTCCTGCAGTGACCAAAGCCTGTATATGAGTGTTGTTCCCTGCACACAGATTAAATTTTAAAGGAACTCAGAAACAGGAGCATGTTGGGCCCAATAGTGGAAGCCTATGACTTTAAAGTTGGTCTACAGTGAGGCTCTGGAGATCAACATATTTGTCTGCTCAGACTCCTGATCTGGAAATAAATGGCTTGGCAGGATGAAGACTATTCACATCTAACATCATCTAAAATTTATGCTGTATCAGGAGGTTCATAAGATACAGAAAGACACTAAAGATTTAGACTCATAACAGTTAATCAACCTTTTCTGCCATGTTGGCTCATTAGCAATATTTGCTACTATTGTTTCTTCCATCTACTTTTTCAGATATTTGTATGGTGACCTGCTGTGAAGCAGTTCACTAAAATGAGCCTCTTATCCCATCTGAAGCCTCCTACTGCAAAACTCAGCAGTTAAAAGCACTTCTCTGGATTCAGCACTGTGCCCCAGAAGCCCCATAATTTAAGGATCTGATGCATTTTTACCATCATAAAATACATTTGAAGGCTGTGAATCACCTAGCAATATAATACATTTCCAGTCAGCCAATGTAGCTTGCAGTCAAGGGCAAATGACACTACCTATTAATTTAAATGTTGACACAGCAATTAATACTTACTTATAATGGTTAAACACAAAACAATGCCTCAGGCATGACTGCCTCAATGAGGCTGGCATGACCTGAGGTGCCAGACCTACCATTTCGACCATTTTGCTTCAAGGTGTTTGCTGACAGCTGAATGGCACTCCCATGGCCCATGTTCTGGGGAAACTTCAGATCTTCCAGATTCCCATCTGTGCTTAGTCTCGCAACTTCCAGCTCTGTGTGCAAGAGAGACAGACACTAAGAAAAAAATCTCTGCTGAAATAATCTTCAACACAGTATTTCCAAGCTACAAAATGGTGTTCCAGACCAGCTGAGAGGAGGGCAATCAACTTACAATGCTGGATGCTAGAATGTGTTTGGGTTCCTATTTCTTTTTAAATCTTTGCCCTGAAGAAGTTTTAAATTTAATTTTTAAAAAAGTGCAAATAAATTCTACTCTCTGTGGAAGACAAAAGACAACCAGTTCTTGTAAACAAGGACCTCAGGATATTAAGGACAACAGTTAAAATGAAAATCTGAGAATACTAGTTCTTTGCCACTGGCGATTGGTACTTTCTGTAAATGTTATCAGTGCTCAGGATCTGTATTCATGGAAATAGAAAGAAGAGTTGTTCTCATTTTACATATGCACAGTGGGAGTGCTGGTGCTTTCCATCATGCTTGTTTTTTAATTAAAATCAACAATCAGCTGAATAAAGACACAAATTTGTATGAAATGAAACACAACTGCCTCACGATGAGCAATCCCCCAGTGAAGCAGCGCTCTCATTGCTCTAGCCCAGATTATACCCTCAAAGCTGGGAGTAATACAGGCTGGTCGGGTGCTCATTTTCCATGGGATTTCAAGGGAAGAGAGCTGCCTTATTCCTTTAGGCTCTTTTGGAAAGACTTTGAAGTCCTTCAGACAAAGGCCCAAGACATATCTAACAAATCACTCTCCAATTAATCTAGGGAGAACGTGACCAAAGCCGGGCTTCGCATCCTTCACCCCTCCACCGGCTGCTCTGGGTACCGATGGGATGTGTCCCTTACGGATGTTGTCCGTGTTCTCGCGGACGATGTCTGTCTTCAGCAGGTTGTCAGCCAGCACGAAGGCGCTGTCCTCCACCGTGTCCAGCAGCTTGGTGGCCGCGCGCTGCTGCTCGCTCGCGTTCAGGTCCCTCCACGCGTTCAGAGCCTGAGGCTGCAGCAGGTTGTTCACCGTCTCCACCATGGCCTGCAAGGCAGAGGGATGGAATGAGGATCCAGCACACCTAAAGCACCAGAGACCTCTGACATATGCTTACTCCCATCCTCCACACACATCAGTTTACAGGGGGATGGCAGCATCTCCTTCCCCCACCCATTAGGGCAGCCTGCAGTGGAGCAGGACAACTTTTATGCCATCAGATGGGACAGGGAGGAGATACTGATTTTATTACAAAGGCAGCCTGGGAATGGTGCTTTTCTGCTTCCATAATCATCAGCTCTGGGCTTGGAAAAAGAAGGAACTAGGGCAGGCGGGGAAGGAGGGGTAGGAGGAAGATGATGGTTAAGGAAACATGCAGGAAAAACTTATCCACAGCACCAGAACTAAAGAGTAGGGCTGGGGCACTCAAGGCAGGTATTTAATACCTGCAAAGGTCATGCTCCCTAAAACATTTCCCACCACATAACCACTAGTAGGCAGCCATGAAGACACAGAGATAGCTGTGCAACAGCAGGTGCCCGTAGAGATTTAGATAAGACACTACATTTCAAATTCTGCATTCAGGAAGGAGTCAGCCCTGTGGAAACTGCTTCAGTCCCTCCTACAGTGCACCTTCTGCACTGACACACACTAAGAGCTCTCCCATGGATAACTTCACACAGGTTAATCTGGATGCACACATAGGATCACACAAAACTGTACTGGTCTCATATACTGCAAAATTATTGCAGTAGAATTTACCCAAACTGAAGGCTTTTCCCAATCTAAACCCTCCGCTTCATTACTAACCAGAGCTGACTCAACCACTTTTCAGCTAACAGTTTTTAATGAGACCAGCTGTACCAGTTGATAGAACTGACTGTGCTAAGGAAAAGGATAAAAAATAAGCTACTTATGATCATGCTTTCTTCAGCTGGTTAGAGTCTAGTCACCAGGCAGACCTACCCCACAGAGAAACACCTCCACTGCCAGCTATATGCTGACTGCAGAAACCAACGTCCTCTTCAAGATGAAATTGCTGTTCATAATAATTTTCTGTATGCTGAGCACATAGGCATCAAACCCACACCTCTGCTCTGCAAGCTGATGACAATCCCATGGGACTTCAACATTTTCCAAGCCTAAAGTGTGCCCCATGGGCTCACTGTCACGGGAATACTTCAGTATTTACTCCTGAAACTGTTGCTAAAGCCATGGGTGAAAAGAAGCTGTGGCATAGCCACTCCTCAGGAGGAGTGTTCCAATGGCAATGTATGGCACAGAGAATCCTGACTCACTCACCAGTCACGCTCAGGTGCAAATGAGCAATGGGAGATTCAACCACATCGAAGTAGAATTTATTGCTATATCCATGTGACCTTAACAAACATTTCAATTACAGCAAGGTTTGAGGGGAATCAAAGACAGCTAGAACTGCCACTGCTGGTCCCAGCAAAGACACCTTCTTTGAGTTTGGAAGGTTTCTCTCACCATCAGGTTTCCTGTTGGGAGACTGCACCATAATTGGGCTGCTCTGACAGCACAAAGCTCCTACTTTCACAGTTACATTTATTCATGGTCAATTAATGCATTTGTTCTTATGCCAAACCTCTCCTATCCCATAAGCTGAATGCCTCACTCATTTGGTTTTAAGTGGAACTTGATAACCATAAAGGAATTTTTTTAAACTGATTCTTAAACTGATTTTCCTGAATAGTCTAAAAATTATCTTAACACATTTGCGAAGTACATACAACAAACTGGTTGAAATTAGTAGTCAAGAAGAAATGGAAAAATCCATCGCATTTAAATCTGATACTTTTTCTGTGTTTTAGAATTTGTAGTATCATTTGGTAGCTTATCTCTTCACAGGCAAAAAAATAGGTGGTACTCTTTTCCAGTGACCAACAAGCTTGATTATTTTGTGGTGCAGCTTCTACACAACATGGTGTTTTCTTGTAAAGACCTTTTACGCCTGGAGAGTAGAAAATGAGGGTTTTTCTCCCTTTTCAATGTTATCACAAAATTTGCCTTACCTCATTTTAGCTCAGCTCCTACTGGTGTCTTAAATTCTCTGCTAAAACAACGTCCTGCATACTTTTATCAACATCGGAATGGTGGAAAATGTCTTTGCAGCAGATCCAGCTCCTGGCTCTGGACAGAAAGGTAATGTCTATTCATCAGAACATGAAACAGATGCTGAAATATTTGTGTTACACTGAAACATCTGCTGCAAAGACTTTCCCCCAGAAAAAATATTTTTCTAATGCATTCGTTCTTTTGTTTTAAATGTGCACATATGTGTGCATGCAAGTTTGAGAGAGAACACCAGTTAAGCCTAATGTACTGCTTCCTGCACCATGTGTACCCCCCACCCGAAGCTGAGTATCATCCTCTTGAAGTGACTAACCTGAAACCAGCCACTTCACATCACTTTGGGTCTGGGGTCAAACACAAAAGCTCCAGGAAGATTTCCAAGGACTTTGGGTCACATCCTTATCATGTATCTGAACAAAGCTGGTAGACTGTCTTTGTTGGCATTACATCCGAGATTAATTTAGTCCCCAGCTTTTCCCAGAGGGTCATTCCCCTCACCTGTCTCAGTGCATTAATCAAGTGTTCCCCACATTATATTTCTGAGTGCAGCACTTCATTATGGCCGAGTGCTGTGGGCTGAAGCCAAGGAGATGAGGTGCTAATGAAATGTTTGCATTTTGGACAGGAGCTGAGGTAGGTGTTTAAATGAAACAAAACAGCTGTTATAGCAACAGTGCCTAGTGAGACAGAGATGCCAACTGGGAAAAGCTGGGCAGGGGAGTTGTGGGAAAGCAGGCACACGTGACAAGGGTAGGCCTGTGTCTTTATATTTAAGCTGAGCCTTTGTGATTTACATGGCTTTGGCACCTGGTCCAATGACTCTGTGGTCTGATGAAGCTCCAGCATAGAAGAAACAGCTGTGCCAAACCTCCAGGAAAGCCTCTCAGTGACCAGCTGGAGGAGGGTTAGCCCTGAGAGAGGACTTTCAAAATGAAGAAGGCATGGGATAGGTGTGCTTGGGAGCTGATGGCTTGATAGGTTTTACCTGAGAGCCCTGGGGATCCTGATAAAGGTGGGGACTTGCAGAGGGAGATAGGAAAATTCTGACATAGATAGTTTCATCCCACCCCACTTCTAGCATTTATCATGCAGCCAAGTAGGGAGCCCAGATACTCTCTAGTTTCTCTTCCCACTGAAAGTAGGGGAAACTACCCCAAGGATTATTCCCATTTTGCCCAAAATCACATGAGATTATACCTATCCATAAAGAACCAAGCATCTATGAAAGAATGCTGCATGACCTCACTTGAAGACCTGCCCTTGCTTCCCAAGCTAAAGAACTACCTCTCCTATGGTTTTATTTTCTTCCTCTGCCTCATCCTTCTTCCAAATGCAGCTCAGCTGAGCTTGCAAAATAAAAATGTGGGGCTTGAAGCCCAAACATATCTCAACACCATGCATAGCACGGCATCAGACCAATGCTGTGGTCGCTTAGACTGAATGACTAGAGAGCACAAGCACACAGATGCACCAGGAGAAGGACAAAAGTAACTCAAATTGGATCAAGAGAAAGCTTTCATAAAGCACAGCTCTCTTGTTTGTAGGCTAAGATCAAATGAGGGAGGAAGGGCATGGCAGAAGGAAGCTGAGAAGGCAGACTTTCTGTGCTGAGATGCACAGCTTCATGCTCTCTGTGATGTCAGAGTATCTATACATGCAAAGCCAAAACCTCTAATTACCAGCCTGTAAAGAGCAACCATCTTGGGTCACAGAATATTAGACACAGTGGACTTTTCATGTCCCCAGCAGTGACTACAATTGGACATTGAGAAAAGAGCAAGACCCTGCTGAGCACAGAAGACAAATCCCATGATGGTGATACCTTTCATTATGTGGTTATATAGAACCACAGACTGTATGTTCAATGCAAATAAATGTTAATAAATTGCAGAGGGAGGCTTTTCCCAAATAAGGGCATGTGCTCATGGTTTCTTGGTTCTATCCTGAGGTTACAAAAAAGAAACAAAATGTAAATCTTTCTTCTTAGACATTTACAAATTGGTATTAAAAGATGCATTGTAAAAAGGAAACTAATTAGAAGCCTTACAGTAATTATGCATTACTAAAAGGCCAGTTGTACATATCCCATTGATTTCCTTTGTGACAGCTGCTACATTTCATTAAACTGAATTTTGCTTGTTCATTCTCTCCCTCTAGAAACGTCTGGTGAGACTACCTGGCTATATGGCACACAGTTTAAACCTAGGTTTGAACTCTGTATATATCCAGTGATACCATATCTATTTATTCTTCTCTCACTGTACCAACATCCAAGCTACCATTCTTTGATAAAAACAGATTTTGCAATGTCAAATCTCTCTTTGACTGGGACTCAACACTGAAAATCACTAGGAGATGTTAGAGGTACCCAGCTCATTGCCAAATTTGGCACCAGACTGCAATGTGCTACAGTGCTTAAGTGCAGCAATCGTAACCTTAGAAAACCAGCAGCTCTCCTAGAGTTGGGATCTCTTTAAAACCTTATTGTTCATTTTGGCCTCCTGCTGAGCAGCTGATGGAAGATCAAAAATCTCAACAAACCTACAGCTGGAGAAAATAATGCTTTATGGCAGGTGAATACCAGCAGGTCCTACAGGGGATACTGGTTGAATCCTTCTGTTGAGAAATTTTCAAATATGCAGTTTGTCCTTCCTTACAGAAGAAGATCTTCTTAGGAAGAGACTGAACACACAGTATACTTTATTTAGCATGAAACTTCTATCAAGAACCTACCTCCTATTGCACTTTTGGGAGAATGAGGACAGTGACATGGGCAATAAAGTACCACTTTTGCAATGGTATCTCTAATTAAAACATCTGAATTTTATAACTTCTAAAGCTTTGTCTCATACTGCTAACACTTGATCTCACAGGAATATCTCATGCAGTGCACTTTCAAAAATTAGTATATAAGGAGCTACAGCCACGAGGCTTTGCATAGCTAGGCTAAA